TAGTTGTAATTCTTTATATAATTTATATTTTATCAATTCAATTGTTAGATTTAATATTTTAATTTAAAGTTTATTAATATCTATAAAAAAAAAAAGAAACTATATTTTATATGAAACTAGTATTTGTTCACTAAATCTAAAATCATGACAGAGAATGGTAGAGCGAGAGAGTGGGTTTCATACACTGGACACAGGACGGGGCATCGATGGACAGCACTGGGTAATGAGAAGATCAGGCTCCATGAGGGAGGTAGACAGTGGGAAGCGGAGGATTCAGGGCACCGTAGCTGGAATTGGTATCGGAATGATCACAGAGAGGGGGGGTATGACAGTGGAAAGGAAAAAGGGGGGAACTGGAGTAGGAACAGGCAGTGGGGGTATGACAGAGGGCAGTATAAGCAAGCTTCAGCTTTCTTTTTTACAAACATGCCGGTGGATTGGAGCTACACTGAAATGTGGAGAACGTTTGGCAAGTTTGGAAGGGTATTTGATATTTACACCCCGCAGAGAAGAAGCAAGAACGGAAGGAGGTTTGGCTTCGTTAGGTTCCTGAATGTAAGGAATACCAAGGAGCTGGAGAATCAGCTCGATAAAATAAAGGTGGCGGGGCATAAATTATGGGTAAACCTGGCCAAATTCCCAGAGGAGAAAGGTAAAGAACAGATAGTAAGAAGAATCTTCCCATCAAAAAAAATTGTTCATGGGAGGACATATGCTGATGCTGTGCGAGGACAAGAAGGTTGCGGAGCTGGAAAAAGCGGAGAGAAGGGTCTAGCAAGACCACTGCAGTCTGAAGAAGGTTTAAACAGAGCACACGAAAAACAGAAGCAGCAGAAGAGCGGTCTCGTGTGGAAACAGAAAGACAGAAGAGAGAAGTGGTCGGGTTTGGAGTTTAAGGTAAAAGAAGAAGAGATGCAGTGGTTGCAAGGAAGCTATGTGGGAGTTGCACACTCAGTGGAGATTGTACCCAATTTACAAGAGAAGTTCTATATGGAAGGGTACTTCTCATGTAGATTAAGAGCCATGGGGGGAAAATTGGTCCTTTTGGACGGTGAGGATAAAGATGAAATTAAGGATTTAGTGGAGGGAGCTTCAGATTGGCTTGGGCAATGGTTTTCAGAGGTAAAACCGTGGGCTCCTGCAATGGTAGCAAAAGAAAGATTTGTTTGGATGAGGTGCCAGGGAGCTCCTTTACATGCTTGGAGCCCAGAATTCTTTGAAGAATTGGCATTAGCATGGGGGAAATGTATCTGCTTGGATGATAGCACAAGCAAAAAGAGAAGGTTTGATGTTGCAAGATTTTTATTATCAACAACAACAATGGAGTCTATCTCTGTCCACCGGAAAGTTAAAGTTAATGGGGATATATTTGAGTTGAAGTTCTCAGAGGAGGAATTGACAAACAGCCTCTTCTCATTGAAGTATGATTTCAGGCCGTCTTTTAATAGCGATTCAGAGCTGGATGAGTCTTGGTCGGGTGCCTCGGAGTATACAGAAGGTGTTGATGAAGATAGTGAGGAAGCTGTAATCGGAGATGGCGCCGGCGAGGATAGTCCAAACAGAGTAACAATTCCGAGTAAGGAGAGAGGGAGTAGGGTGGCTGTCACTTCAAACTCAGAGGCAAAATTTGAATTCGAAGGGGAGAGTAATGATGAGGGTTGGTCAGAAAAGAAGGCTAGGCTCTCAAATAGCAGAGTAGGGGAGGAGGAGTCCGTTGATGTGGTTGCAGATAGCTTTGAAATGGATATGGAAGAGGATGACGCAGGGGAGAGAGATGGTTTGGGAATGAGTGCAGCCGAAAGTAAGGAGAAGACGCTCTCAAATTCAAATCCCGCAGCAAGTTTGGGAAGTTTTGGGCTGGGCAAGCAGCCCAATAGTGTCTCATTAGAGGGATATGCTACTATTCGAAATAGGGCCGATGAAGGACTGCCAAAAGAATATTGGGCCGATGATAGATTAAATGGCAGGCCACAATCGGGGTTTGAAGTGAGGCCCGAAGAGGGAGCCAAGAAGAAGAAGTCACGGGAATCTGCAGAAAAAGGCTCGATTATTCTGGAGAATGGCAGCTCCTGTAGCAGTGAACGGGGGAGTTTAGAAGGGTGCGGGGAAGAGGAATCGAGTGCAGCTCAGAAAAAGGACAAGAAAAAGAGTAAGAAAAGGAGCAAATCGTGCACTTCGGTCTACCAAAAATCAATTCTTCTTGGATTTATGAAGAAGAAGAAGAAAAGCAGGGGCAGATGGGGGTCGAAGCAATCGGAAGAAGAAGAAGTGCCGGTGTTCTTGCCAAGCACATGCAACTCAATAGCGGGTGGATCTGTAGGAGATAGCGGTATTCAGAATTGCAATAGACTGCTCATGGAACCACCCAACAAACGGATTGCTACGGACATGTGGGAGTTTGCGAAGAAGATTGGGGCTGTGGCAGAGGATGAAGACTCGGTCATCAAGAAGCTCCAGGAGATGGAGAAGAGAGATAGATCGGCAAAGGAGAAAGTAAGCTTAAAGTGACCGAGTAAGGACCAGAAGGTGAGTGCTGCAATTAAATGAATATATTGTCATATAATGTTAGAGGATTGGGGGGTGCGGGGAAGAAGAGAATGGTTAGAGATTTAGTAATTGGAGAAGGTGTAGACTTCCTAGCTATTCAGGAAACTAAGAAGGGTGGAATAGATAGGAAATTCTGTAGGTTGCTGTGGGGGACAGAGGAGTTTGATTGGGTGGCTAAGGATTCTGCGGGGATGTCGGGAGGTATGGTCTGTGTTTGGAACTCTAAAGCACTCAGAATGTTGAAAGTTTTGGAGGGTGAGAATTTCATTGGGATTCAAGGGAGGTGGGTAGCAGAGGATGTTTGTGTTAATATCATCAATATTTACTCTCCATGTCAATTAGCGGGAAAGAGAAGCTTATGGGGGGAATTGAAAGAATTGGTTCTGCAGACAAGAGGGCTATGGTGTCTTGTGGGTGATTTTAACACTGTTAAGAATGCAGAGGAGAAAGTAGGAAGCCAAGCAGTAACTACTGAGATGAGGGAGTTCAACAATTTCATTATGGAATCAGAACTGATAGATATACCACTAGTGGGCAGAAAATTCACATGGTATCAACCGAGTGGGAGATTGATGAGCAGAATAGACAGGTTTCTAATGTCCGAAGAGTGGATGAATAAGTGGGGTGAGGCAACTCAGTGGGGTTTAACCAGATCTGTATCTGATCACTGCCCAATCCTCCTTAGACATAAGAAAGTAAACTGGGGACCTAAGCCATTCAGATTTTTTGATACCTGGCTAGAGCAAGAAGGGTGTCGAGAGGTGATTAGAGAAGCATGTGGAAGGAAAAAAATGAATGGATGGGCCGGATTTCGCCTCAAAGAGAAACTCAAAATCACCAAAGAGGCGCTGAAGACATGGAGTAGAAATTTTGTCCCAGAAATAGAAGGAAGAATAAGAGAGGTTACGGCTGAGATCGTGCAGCTAGATGTCAAAGGAGAGACGTCTCAGCTATCTGAGGAAGAGATTGAGAGAAGAAGACAGGCATTCTTGTCTCTGTGGGATAGCATCAGACACAAAGAGTGTATGCTGCAACAGAAATCCAGGCAAGTATGGCTAGCGAAGGGTGATGCAAACTCGAAATTTTTCCACAATTATGTGAAGGGGAGATGGAAGAGGAATGAAATGAACAGCATCCATGTAAAGGGAGTACAGATTACAGAGGCAGATAATCTGAAAGAAGAAATTGCCACCTTTTTTGAGGAAATATTCACGGAGGAGAAGTGGATGAGGCCATCTATAGAAGGAACCCAATTCAAAAAAATCTCCCCGGCAGATAATGTATATTTCACTGCACCTTTCTCCGAAGAAGAGATAAGGTCAGTTGTTTGGGATTGCGATAGCTCAAAAGCCCCGGGCCCGGATGGCTTCAATTTTAAATTCATCAAGAGCGAATGGGAGACAATCAAAGGGGATGTGTTTGAATTTCTTCATGAATTTCAGAAGAATGGCAAACTGGTGAAGGGTCTAAATACGTCATTCATTGTTCTTGTGCCAAAAGTAGAGAATCCACAGAAAATTGAAGAGTATAGACCAATCTCGTTGATCGGGGGTATATACAAAATTCTTGCAAAATTGCTTGCTAATAGACTCAAGAAGGTGCTGGGTGGAATTGTCGGTGAACAGCAAATGGCATTTTTAAGTGGTCGGCAACTAATGGACGGGGTTGTAATAGCAAACGAGGTCATTGATGAAGTAAAAAAGAAGAAGAAGGATGCGTTTTTATTGAAGATTGATTTTGAGAAAGCATACGACAAAGTGAGCTGGAGTTTTCTCGATTTTATGATGCAAAAGACGGGTTTCTCAAAAACGTGGAGAAAATGGATTATGGAGTGTCTAAGCTCAAGTATGGTGTCGGTTTTGGTTAATGGCAGCCCGACCAGACAATTCTCTATGACCAGAGGTCTTTGGCAAGGGGATCCACTATCCCCATTCTTATTTCTGATTATTGCAGAAGGGATTAATGGGCTGGTTGGGGAGGCAGTGGAGAAAGGCCTTCTTGAAGGTGTAGTAGTGGGAAATAAAGGTTTCAAGGTCACACATCTCCAATACGCAGATGACACTTTGCTGTTCGGCAAAGCTACGGATGACAATGTATGGGCATTGAAGAGCATCTTGAGATTATTCGAGCTGGTATCGGGGCTGAAGATAAATTTCAACAAAAGTCAGCTTATTGGCATCGGAGTAAAGGAAGAGTGGTTAGAAAAAATGGCGTGGGTATTGTGCTGCAAAAAAGGGTGCTTGCCTTTTAAGTACCTGGGGATACCAGTTGGGGGGAGGTGTGGTAGGCTCTCATTCTGGAAACCAGTGCTGGAGGGGGTGACCAACAAACTGTCCACATGGAAAGGGAGATATTTATCTCTAGGAGGAAGGATTACTCTCATAAACTCAGTGCTGTCCAGTCTACCCGTGTTTTGGATGTCCGTGTACTTGATCCCGAAAGGTACAATTCTTTTTATTGATAAAATCCGTAGGAGATTTTTGTGGGGAGGTGTGGAGGGAGGAAAAAAAATAAACTGGGTTAGATGGGAGAAGGTTTGTAGGGACAAAGTGCAAGGGGGTTTAGGGGTGAAGGATTTAAGGAAGTTTAATTTAGCTTTGCTTGGGAAGTGGTGGGGGAGATTGGTTAACGAGGAAGATGGGCTTTGGAAGAAAGTTATTTTGCAGAAATATGGTAGGGACGGGGAACCGAGATTTAATTGGTTGAGGGAGAGTATCGGTTTTGGGTCTAGATGGTGGAGGGATATTTGTAGTTTGAATGTCATTGATCAGGAGCATGTTGGTTGGTTAGCAAAGGGGCTGATTATTAAAATAGGAGAAGGGGATACTGTGAAATTCTGGTGGGACGATTGGGGTGGGAGAGGTATATTGGCTAACAAATACCCAAGATTGTACTTAATCTCTGCAGGTAAAGATAATATGGTTTCACAGATGGGACGGTGGTCCAATGGCAGCTGGATATGGGAACTGCAGTGGCGGAGAAGGTTATTTAGCTGGGAAGCCCAAGAAGAAACAGAGATCATGAAGGAAATTCAGGAAACACCTCTCAGGATAGGAAAAACTGATGTTTGGGAGTGGGTTCATAGCAACAATGGGGTCTACACAACAAAATCTGCTTATAAGGCTCTTAAACTGGAGGTCGAGCAAGAACAACAAGGAGTGAACCTCCAAAAAGTATGGAACGCAATGGTGCCAAGTAAGGTTTCTGCATTTTCATGGCAACTTCTTCAGGATAAAATCCCCACAAAGGCAAATCTTTTCAAAAGAGGTATACTTCAAAACGTGGAGGAGTGCAAATGCGTATTCTGCGGGTTCCAAATGGAGGAAACCAGCCATATTTTCACGCAATGTAAAGTAGCATATGATTTGTGGAATGCTTGCTTCAGGTGGTGGGGAATTAGTACTGTGCTGGACAGAGAAGGGAGTAAAGTGTTCCAACAGCATCCTTCGGCTCTCAAAGTGGCAGAAATAAGAGAGGGTTGGAGGTGCATATGGTTGGTAGTAGTGTGGACAGTGTGGTTGGCAAGGAATGATAGCATATTTAAAGGAAAAGAAGCTGACAAGAGCAGGCTGCTTGAACTGGTCCAGCTAAGATCCTTCAGCTGGATAAAATGCAGGAAGAAATGCTGTCTATTTTCTTGGCCTGATTGGGTGCAGGACCCGGTATCCTGCTTAAGAGACGCTGCAGCAAGAAAAAGGAAAAACAGAGAGGTAAGAACAGGGTAAGCAAAGGAACCTTTAGGAAGGGGTGCTCCTCTGTATCGATGGGCATATGTCTTATGGGGGAATCAGGTGCTGGCTAAGCACATACCCCCCTGTAAAAGGTTTGGAGTACTCCCAGTACTCCTATAATGAAAATTATATTTGCTTTTCAAAAAAAAACTTATTTATAAATAAATATTTTTCTATTTTTATGGCTTATGCTATAGTAATTTTTTCAATAGTAGTAAATAAATTGATATTTGAATTTTTATTTCATGGTAAACAGTTTAAAAATAACAAATGTGTATTTGATTATTTTAAATGTTTATTTTTAGTTTTTAATTTTTACTTCCTTGTCCTATAATAACCAATATTGTTTTATTTAAGATTTATTCCAAAATAACAATCATTTTTTTTATTTTAAAGAAAACAAATATTTTTTTCTTACTTTATCTTTATAATTATCTCACAACTTTAATTATCTAATATTTCATTAAAATAGTTTATTATTATTATTTATTTATTAAAGATAAGTAAAAATAGAATTAGTCCCCAAATCATTAATATGAAAATAGAATCAAATAATACCTATTATTCTAAAATGTAAAGAGTAATTAGTTAATATTTAAAAATTTTACAGATTTTATCAATGACTTATTGGCTCGAGTGGAAGGGGTTCAGTTTCTTAAATAAGATTTCGAGTTCGAGTTCGAGTTTTATAAACGAAGAAACATGCGTTGGGAGAGCATCCCCTGATAAGATCCAACACGACTCGATTCCAAATTAGTCAAGATCCGACGTGGTTTCGGATACCCATAGGTTAATACCAAAAAAAATTCTACAGATTTTTCATGACTTACCAAACAATAAAAAATATTTTTTTTAAATGTTTTTCAAAATATTCCAAATATCAAAAAATAATCTTTAGAAAAAGAAACTATTTTTCATGAAAAATATTTTTCAAAATGAATCATTTTTCACGAACCAAACGGACCCGCAGTCAAAATTTTTTTTCCGTGCAGTAAGTATACAAGCAGACTTACCTGATTGTGGAGGCAGCTGTGGTGACAGGGTTCCGCCTCTCAGTGATGCTGCAATTAATTATGTATGAAACCATCATCATATCTGTCAAAATGTTAATTGAACACTGGATTGTCTAGATATAAGAAAAATGATAGTAGAGAATTGGCGTCAAGGAAAAACCAACAAACTTACAAGCATCTCCCGAATCACCTTCTCGAACAAACTTACGAGCATCTTCCAGATCACCTCCTCCGACAAACGTACGAGCATCTCCAGAATTACCTCCCCCAACAAACTTAAGAGCATCTTCCGAATCATCTCCTCGAACGTATCCTTCTTGCGCCATCTCTTCAGCAATTGGATTTACCGATTGAGCAATAAGCTGTTTTGTTGATGATTTATCATCAACAAACACTCTGTATTTATTCTAAGTTATGACCAACGAGAGTCGCGCTGGTATCTTGCGTCAGTAGCGCGAAGGCCACTGGCTACTTGTACTCCACGCCTCTGCCAGTCGCACGCTGTCTTTGAAAAAATAATTTTTGGCCGGTTGTTTGGTATATTGATAAACAGAATTAATAACAGAATTAAGGCCTGTTTGACTTTTATGGCCATATGTTAGGTATAATGATCAAAGCGTTAAGGGTCTCTTTAATTCGTTGCTGTAAAAGCCTGTAATAGCTGTAATTGCGCGAATTATGCATTTTGTACATTATTTTTTTTTTTTTTGTAGTTAACCATCTTTATAATTTTTATTTTCAGTCAATATTCTTTATAATTTAAAATTTCTAAAAAATCATAAATTACCAATAAAATTAAGGTGTAAATAAGAGATTTGACTATTAATTTTGAAGGGTTTTAAATTATAAAGGATGTTGACTAAAAGTGAAAATTATGGAGTGTATTGGATTACTAAAAAAATAAGTACAGAGTGTAAAATATAGGTTTGGACAATTAGCTTCATATTGATTCTAATTCTTTTGATTTCAACCTAATGGCTTCTAATCTCCTGGTCCCAAGTTCATACTTGTAAGAGTTGAGTTCTTCCGTTTGAGACTAGAATATTAGAAAGCATTAAGTTTGAGGTCAACATATAGAGCTAATTCATGCAATTACAATAGCCCCTAAATTCATCCTTTTTGTGTGTGTGGAAAACACACCCTCAAGCTTTTCCATTTCCTTCTCCTTCTGTTTGCATTCCGGGTTTAATTTCCCTCTCAAGTTTGAGGTCTCTTCCACTAAACCCAATGAAACTGAAGATCAAGCAGCATATCTAATGCAATTGAATAAAAGCTATCTTGTGTGGGCTTCAAAATTTTAAGAGGGAGGCAAGTAATTGTATTGCTCCAAATGTTTAACCCTAATTGGGGTCCAATACACTTATATTGAGCATTCCCAGGTAAAATATTGTTAGAAGATTATCTAATTTTTGTGATTTCTCTGCGGCCTAAAATTTTCGAAGGAAAATCGATGTAGAGTTTGAATAGTTTGAAAAGGTAAGGGTTTCATGTAGTGATGAAAATATGGGTTGTTTATCTCGCTCTAATAGAGTTTAACAAATATAGACTTTAATTTGGAATTTGTTAGTAAGTGTATTAAAAATTTGGTTCCTTAAGCTGAAAAAAAATTCGAAGCTACAGTTTAGTCGATGGCTCCCCTAAATCAAGGGCATTAGCCACTTGTTCCAAGCGGGGAAGACAGTAGTCATTCGCATTGAGAGTATAGTTCAGTGGATAGCTTGCTATTTTTTTTTTTTTTTGGCAAAAACCTACTTTTTAATCTTTTACTTTATTAGATTTATAAGTTTTAGCCAATCACCTTACATTATAACACTTTTAGCCGTTCACCTATTAAAATTAAAGAAAATAGCCCTCACTTATAACATTTTATTAGTTCTGTTAATTGATTGTTAATTTTATTAGTTGACTGTTAGTTAGCAAAAACTTACTTTCCGCTAATAGAGTTAACAGTCAATTAACAAAGGTAATAGTCAATTAACAGAGGTAACAGTCAGTTAACAAAATTAACGAAATACTATAAAACGAGAGCTATTTCTTTAATTTTAATAAGTGAGGGGCTAAAAGTAT